ACGCAAACAGGAACACACTCACGGATAACCAGCTAGTGGAAACCACTGACAAAAAGGTAATTTGGGTTTAAATAACCCTCCTTAGGCTGTAATTGGCTGTCCCTGACCTCTGACCCCAAAATGTGCATGCCCGTCTATGATGTGACGCCACACACACGTCGCCGCCATCTTTGATGTGGGCGAAAGTAAGTTTCTTATACAAATCCGGTCCACGGTGGCCGCAGTTTCTAAGAACGTCGCACTTGCTTGGGACCAGAATGGAGGGAGACCGGGTAGCTGCCTGACGAGCCCCAGGTAAGTTGGAAACATCTCTGATGGCGTGGCTGCTATGTTTGAGTGCAGCCATGCCCTCAGAGATGTCGGAAGCCATGACAATACCTTTAAATGCCTAAATGGTAGCCATCTGCTGTGAATTAAATAATTATACAGGCAGTCCTCACTTAACGACCTAACTGAATTTTCCCTGAACATAAATTAGAGGGATTCCCTGCTCTGGTGCGTTTGTCTAAGTTCAGGTAAATTTCCCCGAACATAAAAAAACACACCAGAGCAGAGAATCCATCTAATCTATGTTCGGGGAATGTTCCCTGAACATAGATTTGAGGGATTTCCTGCTCTGCTGCACTTGTCTATGTTTGAGGAAATTTCCCCGAACATTGACCTGCACTGGTGCGCATGCTCCGTAGTGCAACCTCACAAGAGATATGCAAATGATTGCTGCAAAAAATTTGCAGATAGCCTGTGATTGGATGACTCGAGACAAGCTGCTACAGCAGTTAAAGAAAATTTTTTTTTTTAAAGTTCCAGGGCCTTATGGTATTCACCCACAAGTACTTAAGGAGCTAAGTGGGGAAATAAGTAAACCTCTGTATTTAATCTTTCAAGATTCTTTTCTTTCAGGTATTGTACTGGAAGATTGGAGGAAGGCAGATGTCGTTCCTATATTTAAAAAGGGTTCAAAATCCTTGCCTAGAAATTATAGACCTGTGAGCTTAACTTAACTCAAAAATATTTGAAGGACTATTAAGGGATATTATTCAGGAATTCATTGGGAAGAACTCTCCTCACAATAGGTTAGTCTTCAAATTAAAAGAAATTAGTCTAGATGAATATTCTTGTTCTTGGGTAGAACATTGGCTTAAGGATATAGTACTGGTTACTCTAGAGTACTTATTAAAGGGACACTATAGTCACCAGAACAACTACAGCTTATTGAATTTGTTTTGGTGAGTAGAATCATTACCTTCAGGCTTTTTTGCTGTAAACACTGTCTTTTCAGAAAAAATGCAGTGTTTACATTAAAGCCTAGTGATAACTTCACTGGCCACTCCTTGGATAGCTGTTAGTGATCCTTCCTGGGCCATGGCTGCCTAAAATGCACCCAAACATTCAGTATCTCCTCCCTCTGCATGCAGACACTGAACTTTCCTCATAGAGATTAATTGATTCAATTCATCTCTATGAGGAGATGCTGATTGGCCAGGGCTGTGTTTGAATCATGCTGTCTCTGCCCCTGATCTGCCTTTTTGTCAGTCTCAGCCAATCCTATGGGGAAGCACTATGATTGGATCAGGCTACCATTTCTGATGATGTCAGCAGACTGTTATTTTTTTTTTTTTTAGGCAAACAGCATGCAGAGTTACAGGTTCTGGCATGAATACAGTAAGACTTTCCTATATTTATGAAGGCATGAGGGACCCAGGGGGGCTAGATGGTGGTGTTAACACTACAGGGAGTGCAGCATTATTAGGCAAATGAGTATTTTGACCACATCATCCTCTTTATGCATGTTGTCTTACTCCAAGCTGTATAGGCTCGAAAGCCTACTACCAATTAAGCATATTAGGTGATGTGCATCTCTGTAATGAGAAGGGGTGTGGTCTAATGACATCAACACCCTATATCAGGTGTGCATAATTATTAGGCAACTTCCTTTCCTTTGGCAAAATGGGTCAAAAGAAGGACTTGACAGGCTCAGAAAAGTCAAAAATAGTGAGATATCTTGCAGAGGGATGCAGCACTCTTAAAATTGCAAAGCTTCTGAAGCGTGATCATCGAACAATCAAGCGTTTCATTCAAAATAGTCAACAGGGTCGCAAGAAGCGTGTGGAAAAACCAAGGCGCAAAATAACTGCCCATGAACTGAGAAAAGTCAAGCGTGCAGCTGCCACGATGCCACTTGCCACCAGTTTGGCCATATTTCAGAGCTGCAACATCACTGGAGTGCCCAAAAGCACAAGGTGTGCAATACTCAGAGACATGGCCAAGGTAAGAAAGGCTGAAAGACGACCACCACTGAACAAGACACACAAGCTGAAACGTCAAGACTGGGCCAAGAAATATCTCAAGACTGATTTTTCTAAGGTTTTATGGACTGATGAAATGAGAGTGAGTCTTGATGGGCCAGATGGATGGGCCCGTGGCTGGATTGGTAAAGGGCAGAGAGCTCCAGTCCGACTCAGGCGCCAGCAAGGTGGAGGTGGAGTACTGGTTTGGGCTGGTATCATCAAAGATGAGCTTGTGGGGCCTTTTCGGGTTGAGGATGGAGTCAAGCTCAACTCCCAGTCCTACTGCCAGTTCCTGGAAGACACCTTCTTCAAGCAGTGGTACAGGAAGAAGTCTGCATCCTTCAAGAAAAACATGATTTTCATGCAGGACAATGCTCCATCACACGCGTCCAAGTACTCCACAGCGTGGCTGGCAAGAAAGGGTATAAAAGAAGAAAATCTAATGACATGGCCTCCTTGTTCACCTGATCTGAACCCCATTAAGAACCTGTGGTCCATCATCAAATGTGAGATTTACAAGGAGGGAAAACAGTACACCTCTCTGAACAGTGTCTGGGAGGCTGTGGTTGCTGCTGCACGCAATGTTGATGGTGAACAGATCAAAACACTGACAGAATCCATGGATGGCAGGCTTTTGAGTGTCCTTGCAAAGAAAGGTGGCTATATTGGTCACTGATTTGTTTTTGTTTTGTTTTTGAATGTCAGAAATGTATATTTGTGAATGTTGAGATGTTATATTGGTTTCACTGGTAATAATAAATAATTGAAATGGGTATATATTTGTTTTTTGTTAAGTTGCCTAATAATTATGCACAGTAATAGTCACCTGCACACACAGATATCCCCCTAACATAGCTATAACTAAAAACAAACTAAAAACTACTTCCAAAAATATTCAGCTTTGATATTAATGAGTTTTTTGGGTTCATTGAGAACATGGTTGTTGTTCAATAATAAAATTAATCCTCAAAAATACAACTTGCCTAATAATTCTGCACTCCCTGTATAAGGTCAGGAATACATGTTTGTGTTCCTGACCCTATAGTGATCCTTTAATGGTAAATTTTCAAGCTGGACAAAAGTGCTAAGTGGTGTCCCTCAGGGTTCTGCCTTGGGACCGCTTCTATTTAACATATTTATAAATGATCTTGAAATAGGCATTGAAAGCCATGTTTTAGTGTTTGCAGATGACACAAAACTTTGTAAAGTAATAAAATGTGGGCAGGATATTGCCTTGCTCCAGAGGGATTTAGATAGATTGGGCACTAAAATGGTAGATGAAATTTAATGTAGAGAAATGCAAAGTTATGCATTTTGGGGTCAAAAATGCACAAGCAACTTACACCCTAAATGGTAGTGAATTAGGGATAACAACACACAAGAAGAATTTGGGAATTGATATAGACAACAAATTAGGCAGCAATATGCAGTTGCTAAGGCCAGTAAGGTTTTGTCATGTATAAATAAGGGCATAAATTCTCGGGATGAGAAATCTTTTTTTGTTTGCCTCTTTATGAATCGCTGGTAAGGCCATAATACTCCCTGCTCTGGTGCGTTTGTCTAAATTCAGGTAAATTTAAGACCATAATACTCCCTGCTCTGGTGCCTTGAATATGCTGTTTAATTTTGGGCACCTGTTCTAAAGAAGGATATCATGGCACTAGAAAAAGTGCAGAGATGAGCTACAAAATTGATAAAAGGAATGGAGCAGGGGGGCGGGGCCGGGCGGCCATGCCAGCAGGCTGCATATCACAACGGAAAATAAGCAATATACCCACTTTACCCGACTTATACAGACCCAGGGGTCCATGACACGAAGCTCTGGAGTGTCCCGGTGTAGCTGGAGCACCCGCCACAGGGTGGCTCTAGGTCCTGGTGAGAGACTCTGGCGCTCGGGGATTGAGGCCTACCCGGGAGGGGAGTGGGGCAGACGGCCGCTGCCTCGCTCTCCACCCCGACTGCAGTGAATCACCATCTACTTGGTGCCTTCCTGGTCCCGTTTCCCCCCCCCGTGGGCCGGGGGGGTCATCCCGGTCCCCACCAGGCGGGCTAACGCCTAAGCATCTCACCTCTGTGGCCCAAAGCTGGAGTGAGGCTCCCACGCGGTCTCACCAAAATGGCTGACGGCTGCACAGCAACTGCACCAACAGAAGGTGATCCCTCTGTGTTCACAACCTGCTATCACTGGGGGTCCCTGAGGGCTCTCAAGCCCCCACGTAACAGCCCGGGAACACACAAGCTGACAGACGAGAACCATCACAGCCAGCGTTTCCTCCACATGCCCATCTCAAAGCGGCAACCCCAGAAGTGCACTCTACAACCAAGCTCCACTAACGACCTGGGCTGGAAGAACAAACAGGACACTCAGCTCTACCCACTGACCGCATGGTGCTACAGCCCTCGACAACACATCAAGACATGGCAAACTTCCCCAGCAACCGGGACATTAGGACCAAGTGGAACTCATGGGGTAATCTCAAGGGACTCACCCCACGCCTGGGCATGGAACACGACCACACTACCTCAGGCTTTGCGCTGGGCTGGAGCTGGCAGTGACCCCAGCCGGTCACAATAAGAAGCACAATATACAGTATGCCATGAATAGCCATACCAGATATCACTGTAGTTGCAGTCATTGAATAACGTGCATATCCTCTGCATATGACCCTGTATATAGTTCGTCTTTATTTGAGCTTTTATATGTAGTATAGAGGGAAATAACTGAATGTATGATGCTCTGCCTGGTGGCACCCTACTTTAATGAGAATCTTAGCTAAGTTGGAAACTTTAATAGAAATAGATATATCTTGTTAGTCAGCACTGCATAATCTATTATAACCTAAAATGCAAACTCACTGTCTCAACTACTGCATGTCATGACTACTTAGACCAGCTGTTACTGTACAAAATGTATGTCTCTCACTTAAGCATAGTCAGCCATAACCATGTCAATGTCTAGATATGGAAGCGATGACACGCGACATAAATATTAACCCTAAGCTACTGTTACTAATCGACAATGTAATTCAAAAAGACAGACGTAGTTACTCAGCTTCTACTTAATTTGTATTATTACCCCTAAAAAATGTGTTCGTTTCCTCTAGATGCTGTACAACAGTTAACAAATAAGTGTTTGTAAATTGATTGTGAATGCTGTTGTGGCATTGTTGATATGCAAAAGTTATTTCATGCACAGCAAAAATAAAGAATTATAAAAAAAAGGAATGGAGCATTTTAGTTACAAAGAAAGGTTAAAACATTTAAATCTCTTTGGTTTGGAAAAACGCCACCTCAGAGGGGATATGATAACATTATACAAATATATTTGAGGCCAGTACAAACCATTATCTGGAAATCTATTCATAAACAGGGCTACACATAGGACATGAGGTCACGCATTTAGGCTGGAAGAAAGGAGATTTCATCTAAGGCAATGAAAAGGTTTTTTTACAGTAAGAACAAAAAAAAACTATTTTTTATCTGTTCTATACAGACTGCTAAGATGTCCGGACATGTTCACGAATAGCTCCCGCACAAAATAGCCCCTAGATGGGTTACGCCGTCTACACCAACGCTGGAAACTGCGCTACGCAACCAGAAAATTCGCCACTCACTGGAGCTGTCATTGTTAGACCTGAAAGCCCTCACTCTGGCACTCAATTCAACCATCCGGTTCTGCGACCTACTGACCTGCTGGGAGAGGCGGCCGATCTCCCGTTTGCAGTCAGGTAGCTTCCAATGACTTCATCATCACCCTGTTCTCCCCCTCTCTTGGGACCGGTAGGGGTTACCCGGTCCCCACTGGGGAAACTCACCTCTTTGCAGCACTAGTTCTCTGTCCAATCTCCGACCACGAGACGAGTCCAAGATGGATGCCACGGAGGACCATCCACTAACCCAAACTGGCTCCACAGGCCTCGAATGAAGGAAAAGCTTTGACACTCGCTTTCAACAGCTATGCCAGGAATTTTGGCATTGTGTGACCTACCGATCAAATCTCCCCACCTTGCCTGTCATACCACTGGCTCCGGAGGCCGTTCCAGCTCCTCTTACCTCATCTGGTCTGGGAGCCCGAATGGAGCCGAGTCCCCACTGCTGACCACACACACACAGGGCACTTCGAGGCTTACAGTCTCCGCAGGCTCACAAACCTCCTGCCAAGACAGAGAGGATTCCTGGACACCAGGCATTGGCTTCTATAAAAACCTGGGCTGGAGGTGGAGATCGGATCTGGCTGTTACCACTTCAGACCTGCACAGTTATGCAACGAAGGGGGGAAGGAAATAATTACGGCATTGACGTATCCTACCTAACCTGGCCTACAAGCGACATCGGCTGACCGATCTGGGCAGACTATCCTACTTCAAGTTACAATTTTACATATCTGAAATGCAGAGAACTAGTGTGTTTATTCTATGTTTTGAACCCAGTGGCATTATCCTCATGCTATATTGAGCCTCATTAATTAATTTCATGACTGTGCACAAGTTATGCTTTGTAAAATCCACAAGTTTCTGTTTTTTGGTTAGTGTTTTGACTGGCCTTAACCGGGTGGGCCAAAGTGGATCAGGACACACATTCTATGGGAAATACCATATGTGTGCAGAAGTCTCACTGTCGGTCATGGGACTACGTCATGAAAAATGTGACATTTAATAAACGTTTCTGCATATCATATCTTGAGAGTATGACAGGAAAAGGAATGGTGCTTTGCCAAACTGTATAAGGAAATGTGATTACAAGCAGATAACCTATGCATGAATATGGTTAGTAGGAATACAAAATACAAAAATACAGTTCCAACAGCAGCAGTCTTCAGAGATCAATGTCTAACTTTCCGTACACTATGATATACTTTCCAAAATGGATAGATTGTAAATAATGCACAGAGGCTCTTCAAAAAAAACCTTTAGCTTTCAATTTAAAGTGTGATTAGACAAACTTTACGAACGTAAAGCAGTTTATTTTAGAAAGCTTGATGTTTGTGATTTCATTTTAATAGATGTTTCAGTTTTACCTTTGCTTTATCTGTTTTACTACCCGCTGAATGGACTGAACATTTCAATGTTCACTGCGTTTCTCTCAAAGGCTTGCATCTGTTGTTAGTAGACTTGTGCATGGCGAAAGAATGTGTTGATTTCGGACTAATGACCAATGACCCAAATTTTGAACAAATAATAATATTTTTAATCTGAATGTGCAAGATTAGTTAATTTACAGGGTTATTCGACCACTTTGGCAATTTGCAGATTTACATAAGCCAAATGTATAATTAATTTGGAAGCATTTGGAAAATCAGACACTGGCGTACATACTGCAGTATGTGCGACCCGGTATGTACGCCAGTGTGGCTGGCCCTGGTGTTACCAGGTGGGCTGGCGGGCGCACCGCAGTGATACCGGAGCCAGAATATGACGTCATACCGCCTCCGGTATCAGTACGCAGCGCGAGGGAGCTGGGCAGAGAGCACTCAGGGGAGAGTGCTCCCTCACGCACCCGCCAGCCAGCCCGCCCGATGACCGGCTGCCCAGCAGCACCACTGGACCCCAGGGAATCCCCTCAGCACTCCCAAAGGTAAGGAGGCTGGGGGATTAAATTTTAAAGAAACGTGTGTGTGTGTGTGTTAGTGTGTGTGTTAGACTGTGTGTGTGTGTTAGACTGTGTGTGTGTGTGTGTGTTAGACTGTGTGTGTGTTAGACTGTGTGTGTGTGTGTGTGTGTGTGTGTTAGTATTAGACTGTGTGTGTGTGTTAGAGTGTGTGTGTGTTAGTGTTAGTTTTTGTGTGTCAGTGTTACTGTGTGTGTCTGCTAGTGAGTGTCAGACTGGGACAAAAATGTGGCCTGGACAGTTTAAAGAAGTGCAGTCCAGGAGTAGGAGACGGGGCCAAAGAAGGGAATGTCATGTCACCACAATGGCAAGCATGCTGGCCCAAAGAAAAATGCTTTAAATGTCAGGTGACTATAGGCACACCATTCTAAGGGTCCAACCACACCCCAACCCCAAAATAATTCAGATAAAGTAAGCACAATGCATTCATTAACTGGACATTGCAATCATAAACACATCAAAACCATTCATATTTGACAACTGCGTACTTATAAATCTATGTATGTGCATATTTCTAGTCTACTTGAATCTGTGAGTATAGGAAGTGTATGCAGCGGTATAAATACAAGGTTATAGATAATGTTAAAAGTGGTTATGGTAAAGGGGGAGTAAGGTTAGGGAGGGGTTAATGTCAGAGTTAGATTACATAGGGTGTTAGGAAGATTAACAGCTTGAGAGGGGTTAAAGTTGTAGTACAAAGGCTGTTTATGTAGTTTGGGGCTAGAGTTGGGTTAAATTTGGTATTGTGGTAACTGGGGTGTTTAGTTTTTAAGAAGATTTAAACATATTATTAAGGTGATGGGTTAATTTTTTGGTTTAGGCTGTGATTGCTGGAGTGTGAAGGATTATTTACAAAGTGTTCACCCGCCTATGTCTTCTGTAGACCAGTCAGATGGATGATATTAGAGCTGCAGGAGCTGTTATACAGTGTGTGTCACTCAGTGCTATCCCTGCTCCTCCTACAAGGCATTTCCTGTGTGAAAGGCTGTCAGTGGGCATATGGGAAGTGATCCCTTCCTCTTCCTGTCCAGCTTCACACTCAGACACTAGAGCAGCTGAGACAGTTTTACACTCTCTATATCTGTTCCTGCAGCTCTTCAATCAAGTTTAGGAGGATAACTGGACACAGAGGACATTGGTCCTCGGTACTTGTCTCTCCCAACCAGCCTATTTAATATCACAAAAGGCACATTATAATTGCTGAAAACATTAGCCCCCAGCAGTCAGGTACCTACAGTGCCTAAATGGAAATTCATCCCTGCCAGTGACAGCTTAATTATGAAAATGCATCAGTAGCATATACTGTGAGGTGGCGGAATGAGGACCTGGTTTCCCATACTGCTGTCCCACAACGGTGGTAGTTAGTCAATGCATACAATTGGAAGCAAACCATATAAAAGGGTGAAAGAGAGCGCAGAGAATGGTACAAAGTACCTCTAGATAATAGCTGCTAAACAAAAAAGGACTTCCCAAATTCAATGAATAAACTGTAAGATATTGTGTTGTCAGCGCTTAGTGAATAATCCCCTTAGATATAATCAGGGGTAAAGGTCTTAACAAATGTATCTATAATAATTAGAAACAGCAATAGCATATAGTGTTAAGAGTGTCAATATAACTGATAGTAACAATCAGATTGTAACAAAAAAATCTAAATTGTATCTCAGTCCAGTATAAAATATGTAGCAGGGTCCAAAGTGACAGGAGGTCCACAAACAACACTGTGGACCTCCTGTCACTTTGGACCCTGCTACATATTTTATACTGGACTGAGATACAATTTAGATTTTTTTGTGTCACACAATCTGATTGTTACTATCAGTTATATTGACACTCTTAACACTATATGCTATTGCTGTTTCTAATTATTATAGATACATTTGTTAAGACCTTTACCCCTGATTATATCTGGAAGCAAACCATGTTGAGCATATAGAGTAAATATGAAGATTTACACCTAGCTAAACATCATGGGGAATGTCGTTTAGAACACATACAATACAAACGATTTAGCAAATTTCACAGGGCACAGGATGAAGACACAGATTAATATGCAATATTATTCTTGATTTAGAGCTGCAAAATTTCCCTGAGGGGAACATGGGCTGTAGCCATTTCGTGTCTCTGTTTTGCAATGTATCACTCACCCCTTTGTAGTGTAGTATGAAAGTATTTACAGCTGCCTATGGGAAATTCATAAATATATTGATTTGTATTTCTACAGCATTTCGAAGGATTCTGAGTTAGAAATATCAACAAACACAAAGTTTCTTTCCAGTCACTATCTAATAAAAAAACAAAAAAAACATAATTTTTAATCACATGCTCTGCGCTTTCTATCCTCAACTGTGTCTTCGCTTAGCCTTGTCAAGGTGTAATGTCAGTAAGATTCTTGCTGTGGTTGTGGTGGTTTTAAATTACTAAACCACTCAAAGGT